GATAGATTGGGATTGTTTTTTTATCACGGAGTTTTTGTTTTATTTACCACAGTATTTGTTTGTTGTATTGGGATAATTATCTATGATATAGGAAAAAGCTGCTTAAGGCTAATTGTGTGTGGTGTCAGTAAGGCCATCAAGTTATCAAACATATTTTTAGTGATAGTATCATTGTAATAACTATTTCGTATATCGTATAAAGACGGTCTCATTTTTAAAAACAAAGGCAAGTTCTTCTATATTACTTTAATGACAAATAAAATATTAAAAGAATTTTTTTAGATTAAATTTTATCTTTATTATCTTATAATTATTAAAAAATCATAAGACATAATATCTCCTACAAATAGAATATGACGTATTGAGTTTATTTAAATAGCTTATTAATAACTCTTCAAAAAAAAAAGCTTAATATAATTTTACTATAAAAGAGATATTGTATATTTAATCTGCGTTCTTCTTGCTATTTAATCATGAGCACTAGAAATTCTAAGAGAACTGCCAACGATAAAATATCAACAATTGCTAAACCTGCTAAATGAGGCCGTAAAAAAAAAGAAAACATTGACCTCTCAAATCATAACTACTCACAAGTTAATCCAAAAAAAACCAATAAACAAGGTCGTAAAAAAAAACAAAAAACAATTGTATTATCGTCTTCACAAATCATTGATAAACTTTTAAATGATGCTAATAATCTACAAGGTAACTATATTACATTTATTTTGTTTGATCTATAGAAATTTATTATATTAGTCATGATATTTTATACTATTTTTAGGCGATGATAAAGAAGTTGAAAGTGTTGGTAACTTATCTCAATCATCATTAACTCCTCCAAGACAACTTTCACCAGTCTTAAGAACAAGAATTGTATCTCAACTTTTATCATCACCTCCAAGACAACAGTCACCAACTCGAATTGGGCCTCAAAAAAAGTAACTACACCTTTAAGACTACTATCTCTAGCTTTAGAGTTGAAAGTTATGTCTTCAAGACAACTATCACCGACTTTAGGGTTAAGAACTGATGCTCAAAATAACTCTGTCTCCTCAAATCAACTTTCGATTAATCCAATACTTATATCTTCAAGAATGTCATTAACTTCAAAATCGAATTTACTTAGTCAATTCAATCCCAATAGAATTACAGCTCTATCACTATTTAATGAAATGTCAATTTATCAAGTTTGTTTGTAGCTATATTCGAATCCTAATATTTTGCAGCTTGCAAACAATATGAACTTATCAATGCAAACTTCAGCTACAGATGGCACACAATTTATGTCTTCTAACTCTATGATATTATCCCAATACAACAAACAAATACTGTGGTAAATAAAACAAAAACTCCGTGATAAAAAAACAATCCCAATCTATC